CACCCGTGATAGTGCTTCGCTAGTACCCTGGACGTAGGGAACGCTGATGCGCGTGATGGGGCGATGCGGCGCAGCTCCCTTTGGTTGTGGGTTTTGGCGAGCGTGAACCGTACGTTTGGTGACTTGTCGGATGAATCTTGTCGGGTAGCCGTTCTTTCTCAAATCAGCGATCACACTCTTCCCCTCGCTTTTTCTGTCAGTTTCTGAAGAACAGATAACAGCCGCCCTGGACATGAGTGTTGCAACGACTGATGCCTTATGACTCGCTGGATGGTGCGACTTAAAATTAAGGTAGCGTCCGGTGTGAGTGGGCTTCCTGTACACCGAAAACTTCATCTCCTCCCCTTGCCTCTTCACCAGTACATCAAGGAATGGTAAACTGTTGTCCTTTTCCCGTTCCACGGTGAATTGGATGTCGGGCTCGATGGAGTTAAGGTGAGCCAGGAACTTGTCAACTTCTGATGTTTTCAATATACAAAAACAGTCGTCCACATAACGCATGAACACCTCAGGTTTGTTGGCAAAGGACTGTAGCGCTCGTTGTTCGATGCTTTCCATTGTCAAATTTGCAGTGGTGACAGATATGGACGCACCCATCGCAGTTCCGCTGGTTTGTTTGTAGAAGTCCCCTTTGAAGCAAAAGTAGGTGCCGCGGAGGCAAAAATCAAGAAGGCGGCACAGCTCGTCCACGCTGAGGCTGGTTCTGGTGCTGAGTTCGGAATCTGATTCGAGAACCGCTCTGGCTGTGGAGACTGCCAGGGGTACTGGAACGCTGGTAAAGAGGGACACGACATCGAACGACACCATGCTGTGTTCCCTGTTGACCTTCACTTCCGACATGCATTCAACGAAGTCACCGGCATTGCGGACAAAGGTGGAGGTTCTTCCAGTGAGAGGCGAAATTATCCGGTGTAAGTAGTTTAACAAGGCCCGGAGCGGAGAGGTGGTGAAATCTACTATGGGTCGCAGAGGAACGTTGATCTTATGAATCTTGGGCAGCCCATAGAAGCCCGGTGCAGAGCCATTCCTGCATATGAGCTGAAAGTAGAGGCCTTTTGAATCGGGGTGGTTCCTGAAAACATCTGCCAGAGTCTTGTTCAGGCCGTCTTGGACTTGGCGGGTTGGATCTTTCTTTAGCTTTTCATAAGCAGGACTGTCAAGGAGGTCTCCGACCTTACGCTCGTAAGCTTCCCGGTCTAGGACCACAGTCGCATTGCCCTTGTCCGCAGGCAGAATTACGATAGTGGTATCCGCCTGGAGCTCCCGCAGCGCTTTGCTTTCTTCTTTAGGCAGGTTATGATGTGGTTGAGAACGGAGTCTTGACAGAATACCTATTGCCTTAAGTCGAACTCCTTCACGAACGTCGGGATCCAGGTGGGAGATTCCGTCTTCTACGGCTGCGACCATTTTCGCCAGGGGGGGTCTTCCTGAGGTCATGTTGAAGTTGTGACCTTTCGCCAAAACATCCGTCTCGCAGTCAGAAAGTCGTTTAGATGAAAGATTCATTACAAAAGCGGTGGTGTCGCAGCTTTTGTTTGTCGTGCTTGCCTTTGATAGAATCGAAAGCTTCCTCTGCTGGGACGAACGTTGCTTCTTTTCGGCAGTGGCCGCGACGTTCCCAGCAAACAACTGCAGAGATGGTAGTACGTCTGGAATCTGATGTTCGAGCTTCCGACGTAGAAAAAATAGATCCAGTTCCTTTTTCTTTATGGTGGTATGGCATTCATGGATTCGGGCGTTGAGCAAACGATGTTCTGCTTGAGCCACGATCCGGTGTCCCTCTTGAGTGTGGACGAGACGCTTAAGACGTAGGCTTTGCGGAATCACGCTCATGTCTCGGCAGGTTTTTACTCAGCACCAGAACCAGCCTCAGCGTGGACGAGCTGTGCCGCCTTCTTGATTTTTGCCTCCGCGGCACCTACTTTTGCTTCAAAGGGGACTTCTACAAACAAACCAGCGGAACTGCGATGGGTGCGTCCATATCTGTCACCACTGCAAATTTGACAATGGAAAGCATCGAACAACGAGCGCTACAGTCCTTTGCCAACAAACCTGAGGTGTTCATGCGTTATGTGGACGACTGTTTTTGTATATTGAAAACATCAGAAGTTGACAAGTTCCTGGCTCACCTTAACTCCATCGAGCCCGACATCCAATTCACCGTGGAACGGGAAAAGGACAACAGTTTACCATTCCTTGATGTACTGGTGAAGAGGCAAGGGGAGGAGATGAAGTTTTCGGTGTACAGGAAGCCCACTCACACCGGACGCTACCTTAATTTTAAGTCGCACCATCCAGCGAGTCATAAGGCATCAGTCGTTGCAACACTCATGTCCAGGGCGGCTGTTATCTGTTCTTCAGAAACTGACAGAAAAAGCGAGGGGCAGAGTGTGATCGCTGATTTGAGAAAGAACGGCTACCCGACAAGATTCATCCGACAAGTCACCAAACGTACGGTTCACGCTCGCCAAAACCCACAACCAAAGGGAGCTGCGCCGCATCGCCCCATCACGCGCATCAGCGTTCCCTACGTCCAGGGTACTAGCGAAGCACTATCACGGGTGCTTGCAAAAGAAGGCATTCACGTGGCTCACAAACCGGTATCCACTCTTGGACGGTTCATGCCAAGACCAAAAGATCGCCCCCCGAAGGAAAAAGCACCGGGAATTGTTTACCGGATCCCCTGCTTAAAATGTCCCGCATCTTATATCGGCGAAACAAAGAACTTCACACAAAGGTTACGCCAGCACAAGAACGATGTACGCAAATTCGACCGAGAACGCAGTGCTCTTGCGGAGCACTGTGACACCTTTGACCATCCGATAGACTTCGCGAACGCGTCCGTTCTTGATGTTGAAACCAATCTCCGAAAAAGACATCACCTTGAATCATGGCACATCCAAAATACACCAGGAAACATCAACAGATCTATGGGTACCTTACCATCTGTTTATGTGAGCGGACTACGACACGTGATTAGAAAAAGACTGGATGGCAAGGCGGAAGCGCGATTAGAAAATATTCGTATCACCAAAGAAGACGAGGCTGCTCCCACGCACGAGATCAATCGCCCCTGAAGAAGAAACCGAACTGGTTTTGAAACGTTGGGTCCGAGTTTAATTTTTGGTTGGAGTCAAATATTTTTCCATTAAATACAAACATGCGCGACATGAGGGAAGCCGCATTGCCATCGACCAGAAGATGGCGGCGAGCACGGTAAGCGCGGGTTTCGCCAACGTCCTGCGACATGGCGCAATTGCTTTTGGTGCATATCTGTCTCCGAGACATGTTTCTTTCCGCGGCATTTGTCTCGACGGTCCTTTCTAAGTGTGTCCCCAAGCATTCCGGTGCTTCGATACCTGGCTATGCCGCGGTCGTCGCCGGGGGCAATGCGTTTTATCGAAGTCGGCTACACGGTTATGCGTGTATGACCGAACCAAAACAGGTTTTTTACAACCTCGCATGATTTCTGAACGAATTATCCGTTACTCATCGTGTAAATTTATGGTAATTTGTGTAAATAGCGTGTTTTTCACCCCAAATATTCGCCAAATACACGGGACTTGCTAACAGTGTAGAGTCCTCTATGCAACTTCCCAATACCGTTCTTCAAGGACGCAGGCTACTCGTACCCTCGCGAACGAGATACTACGAGTGCATTCAGAGCTAGATTATGAAATCAATATACGTGAAATTGATTGTGCTCTTCACAAAACCCGCAAATCTGTAGCTCTTGGTCCCGATAAGGTCACTTACGATGCACAGCAAATCTCGGCCCCGGGGCCACCAGCACTCGTCCTGAAGTAAACAGAGACGATACCGGAATCGTGGAAGCTGGCTAAAATAGTTCCACTCTTAAAACTTAGGAAATCACCACTGAGCGATTCCTTCCTTTCGGTGAGTTTAACCATGCAGTTGCGTCGGAAAGCTGCTCGAGACGATCATTTATCACCGCCTAGAGTGGTGATTGGAAACCAGTTAAGCGTTTCCCGAAGAGATTAACACTTTATTATTCCAAACGCTATGCACATCGGTAAGTAGACATTGTGTTAGCGACCGGTGCGCCTAAACCTGTGCACAGGGTGTGCGAAGGTAAACAAAAACAAATAATGACCGAATGGCCGGGGAAGTATGTTACTTATGGTTGACTATTGTCTTTGCTTGTTTTTGAGGATCTTCAGCGAGTAGCGCATACTCTAAAAGTCTTACCTCTTCCCCGTCCTAACTACACCTCCTAGATAACCCTAGGTGATGTTGTTCTCAGGGTGTTTTACAACATTTCATGCATTATAAGACTTTGAAAGTAAAGGTCGCTGCTAATTGTTTGACTGTTCAATGCCATCCTCCAGCGCGTATCACCCAGACAAAAAAATGATAAATCAATGTGCTGGGGGCTCATACGCGGCGTCTGGTATTTCCACAGGAGAGAGCTATTGCGCATGCGCAGCCTCGTTCCACAGTCCAAGGGGAAAAGATGGCAGCGCGCACAATGCAATAATTGGAAGTGAACAGGCGGCGCCTCAGTCGGCTGCTAGCCAGCGCGACCTGTGGCCAAAATACGCAACTTTAGGAAGGCCTAACAACAGAACGATTGGATAAGAGCGCTGCATCAGAGTTCGGCAGGCCACTCGGAGATTCGGGCTCGAGATCGGGGCCAATGACTGAGGGCACGCGGACCGTCTCAGTGTTGCAAAAATTGTCTATAAGGAGGCGCCCCCTTTGCCAAACCAAACATCATGGTCGACGGTCGGCGTGCAAGTTCGTCTGCTCTCTGCGTGCCTTGTGTGTTTCTTTGCACCTACGTGCTTGTTTTCTTTCACGGTCTTAACCAATAACAGCGCGCGCTTGGTAGCCTCGTCATCGCGCGTTTCCTGCGCGCCTTTTTGTTGCGTTTTGATTGGCTTGCTGCCTTTCCTTACGTTTCGATGCGCCGGAAACGCGTTCAGGAACACTTGCTCGCCGTATATAGAACGTACAGTGGAGGCTGACGCAGTGTTTACCTGAACCCTGGCTTCCGTGAGCTGTATCTTGCTTGCCAGCTCCTCTCTGGAGAAAACGTCAGGGTAGCGGCTTTGGTGGAAGGCTTTTTCCAGCTCTTCCAACTGGTATCCGGTGAAGGTGGTGCGGTAACGGCGCTGTTTCCGCCGCTCGCGCCGCTCACGCCCCCTGGGATAACCGCCGCGCGTTAGAAGAAAGAAAAATACCCCACGGCGTCCCTTTCCGTGCGGCGTTGTCAAGACTAGCCTAACTCTTTTTCCTTTTCTTTTTTCTCACAACGCTGTTAATTAAAGTAGTAGTTGTGTTTTTAAATTGAAAGGCCGTGTCACCCAAAAATAAAAGAAGCAAAGGTGGTTTATAAAAATTAAAAAAGAAAAAAAAAACACAATGGCAACCTATAAAAAAACACTGCGGAAAGGAATAAAGAGAAAAAAAAAGTATATATATAGGAACAAACTGGGAAAATACATGCATTTTTGTCTCGTTATTGGGGACAGTTCGCATTATGTACGATTTTTTGTGGAAACGAAGGTGTCCATATTAACGAGACATCACTGTATATATAGAGAAAGACAACAGTATGTTATCATCTTGTTATTTACTTAAAGTTGGTTCAAATACAGTTCTGATATACCCAACAAATGAGAAGCAGGATGGGGTCATGTGTTCACGCAGTAATGATGTAAGGTAGCCTTCACAATGTCGCGATAGAAAAGCTGACTGCCACGGAGCAGTTTCGCTCTTTTGCCAATACTTGTGAGTAAACAAACAGTTGTCATGCGTGCAAGTAAAATCTTTTTTACGAAACACAAAACGATGTGTGTATACATTAAGCGAAAAATTCGATTTTGGGTTTAATTGTGCCTTATTATTTCTGAATCTTTATATTTGACGTATAACAATGATTAGTGCCGGTTATGATCGCGAAATTAGCCAAATACGCATTTAGAGCCTCTAGCCAACCCAGAACGGCATAAATTCGAGCTTTTTTTTTTTTCTTTTTCGTGTGATTCTTTGAGTTGTGACGCCTCGCCCGCCATCACATTTACGTTTGACGAGTATAGGCCTAGCGGTCTCCTCTTCATTGCAGTCTTCTGTAGCTTTAATTTCTCACAGAAATTTATAAATAAAATATTATTTTTCGCACCGCGACAGAGATAGGTACACATCTATGTTAACATTCTAACACGTTCTTCATTTTTTTTTAATGTAATTTTGAGAAATTTTTATTGTTTATGCGCCAGGATTTCTGTCCTTCATATAGTTTTATCACTATCTGCTTCCTCATTTATTTCTTAGTAGTCGTGTATGATTAAGACACAAACTTTGCATAATGTGGAAGACAATGAAAGGTTCTACACGTGGTATTATTTTAAAAGATATACTAAACATAATCGACTAAAAAAAAAAAGAAATCCGCAATTTAGGTTACAGTTGTTCGCGGAGGCCTGTTTGGGGATTTTTACAAAGGTTGGAACGACGAATAATAAATAGTAGTCATAATGTCGTTTTCCTACATGCATATATATCACGATAAAAAAAATATAGAAGCTCTCTTTTGAATACTTTGAGATTCAGAGTGATTCAAAACGACACACACGACAATCGTCGAAACCTCGTCGTTCTTTCCTGCTTTTTTTTTATTTTTTTTCTCAGAAACTAAACATGCCAGGACATTAATATAAAAAGAATTGTTCTTCTTGGAAGATGCGCCACGTAATATAAAAAAGGTGAAGCAAAATAAAAAAAAAAAAAAAAATACGACTGCACTTCCTTACCTGAATCCAAATGAAACCGCCCATATATACTTTAGAATATATAGAAACATTTGTTTGCCCTTTGATTATGCGTTTTTGCTATTTTAATTACTTTAAAATGAAAACAAGCGTCTCACGCATTATCTTTCCGTGTTTATTACACTCAGTGATTTAAAAGGAGCAAACTAATTTATTTAGTTTGCTCCTTTGTCATGCTTTACGTGTGCACAAGGCCATGTTTTTTTCTGCATGTACATTGCATCGAGAACCTAAAAAAGAAAACGCAGGCTGTACCAAATGTAACACCAGATTTATAAAGAGAAGATTAAGCACCATAAACTGTAAACGTTCAATATCAATATAAAAAAAAAATCCCCTGGCGCATATTTTTTTTAAGAACATATATTGTACCCATTAAAATGTAATCGCACTTACGTATACAGGTCCCATGCACTGCCACCGTCAGGATGGAGAGTGAAAATCAAGATGATCTAAATCGAGATTTAGACCGCACCAGTTTAAAGGCCGACGAACAGACTCGAGATTCTGCAAGGCAGAAGATCCTCCTCACCATGGGGAAGGAGGAAACAGGCAACGGTAGACAGGGTAGAAGGGGGGAGAGGAGGAAACGAGGGAAAAGTGGAAAGCGCGAACTGGTCGTCGGTCTTTTAATATGATGATATAAATAAAATCTTCCCCGCAAAACTATCCGAAATATTTTTGTCTTTACCATTTGTCCATCATTCTGTTTTTCTATCAAAAAAGAAGGAAAATAGGCGGAAGGTGTTTCCACAAGTCTTCGCATACATAAGTTCAAAGTGGCATCTTTTTCAATTTGCTTAGGCACTACAGCATTCGAGCTTTCTCATTAACCGAAAAATCAAGCCGCGCTTGAGAAATACACATCAAGAATACAAAAAAAAAAAAAAAAAGTTCTGAGGTAAACTGTATTTTACGATGTAATTAACTTGTCAGTAAATTTTTGTTCCACTTCGCTCCCAATCATTGGGTAGATTGAAAAACAAACAGCCTGCCGGCCACGTCTAAAAATGTAGCAAAAAAAAAAGTCTTAGACAGGGTGTTTTAAATCATAATTCTGATTTAGATCAGATAACTCTGACTGAAATACTTAAAAGATTATTTATTTGATTAAACACAATCTTAATTTTTATCCACCCTTGCCTCCGCACACAAATCCCGTAGATCTCCCAAAAAGGCAATGCGTGGGATTTATATTAAAAAAAATTAATTAAGATGTCACTGATTAGACAACCATGCTTGATAACACGAAAAAATAAAAAAAAGGGTTTGCGTAATTATTATGAGCGCCTGACAAATTTTACATGGGCTTTTATTTCCTGCCTCCATTAAACTACTTGTGGTGCCACACCGTTTTATTCAATAGCATTCGTTTTATTATGTTTGTTAAATAATGGCAGAACCTCTTATGCCTTTGGGGAAGAAAAGGTTAGAGCGTACGGTGCTGTAATTCGACTACGCGCCAAAAGTTATAAGACATATGTCTAGCTTTTGTTGACAAGGTGAGCAGGTTACGTTGCACAAGGGCTTTCCTCAGGCTAGAAAAAGAAAAGGCTGGATGTTGAGGTTTTATTCTGTAGCCGCAACCTAGAAATCAGGCATTTACTTGGAAGAAAAAAATAATATCTGGGGTAAATATCGCGAGTACGCTGGGTTTATCCAGTGACTCACAAAAAAACAAATACGCTGGGTTTATCCAGTGACTTACAAAACAAAAAAAAAACCTCACAGCTCACAAAAACAAAAGGTGCGGTAAGTTACTTCCTCGTTTGTCTTTATGGTTGAATGTTCCTTGTTATTACCGCATAATAATCCAATAATTATCTAACGCAGGAGATACGAGGATTATAGCTCAGTCCAATTGGTCAAAGTGATTCCTCTATTAAAATACTTTTACTTGTGGGCAATTCACTCTTATTGCACTGCGCGACATTGTTCGCGTGAAAAAAAAAAAAAAACAATTGGCAATTTCTTCTTTCTTTTCTAGAAATTGAAAGCGCTGGTTATGTGTGGTGGAAAGTGGCCATTTTGGCCATCAACTTAAAGGGCGACCGACAGAATTGCCTTCTGCCAAGCAGAAAACCGGTTCCCCAGTTTCCCTCTTTCCGTTCTCTCTCGCCCTCTTCTCCCCTCCTCCCCCTTCAGGCGCGTGAGCTGCTCCCTGCAGAAAAGAGGAAGGTCTCCCCCTTTCTCGAGTGGAAAGGAGGAGCTGAGGGACAGTTCCCTTCTTTCTGACTGCTCGTCGGTCTTTAAAGCCCGACCTACAAAATGCTTTTCCGCAAGGTAGTGAAATCCTTTTCGCACCCTACCACCTTCCCCCTCTCCCACTGCTATCTCTACGGAGGGGGACTCCTTTTGTTGGGGATAAATGAGCCGGGCTAAGCTCCCGGCTTATCCGGCCCCAACATGCATCAACAAAAGGAGTTCCCCCGCCGTCAAGATAAGAGTGGGAGAGGGGAAAATGGGAAGGGTGGCAAGGAGGATTTTCCTATCTTGCGGACAACGATTTTGTAGATCGGCCTTTAAGCGGTAAAATATAGTACCCGCCAATAAGCTGGTTCACTCATCTGGGTTTGAGCGCGACCGAGTGAGTTTGCACCTCTTGACGCCGCTCACGGCTAGAAAATACACTGGCGCCATCTATCGATTCCGATCTGCGTATAGACCGTTTTACTGAAAGAGGGCGAGAGAGAAAAGGGGAAAGGGCTACCGGCGCTTTTCCCCTTTCTAATTGCGTAGAAAGAGTGAAAGTCCCGGATGAGAGGCTTCGCCGGTGTTGGGTGTCTGCTGTGCCCGAACTTCGTTCGCGCTTTCTTTCCTGTTTTAAACTCGCAAACTTAACTAGAGCCAGAGGCTTCGATGGCAACAGCCCCCCAGTCATCGGGACACCATTGCTGGGTCATAGGGTGCACGAGTAAAAACAGAGAGCATAGAATACTGTCCGAGGACATATGTAGCTTGCACGGAATCCGGCAAGGCGAGAGCGGCTGCAGTGTCTTTGAGCTCCATCGCTTTCCACATGACCCCTGTCTCCGGCGGCAGTGGATTGCGTCCGTAAAGCGTGTGGGCACCCTGGCGGCTCCCAAGCCAAGTTGCCCGACTGCGAGGCTCAAGCCGAACTTTTCCCGCGTGGCGGCGACGTCACGCCAGCCACGCGCACATCGGATGCGCCGCCTTGATAAGGCAGATCAGAGGCGGCGCACGGAGAGTCGCTGCCTGGACTCCGGCAGCGCCGGTAGCAATGTTAATCGTCTTGTCCATGTCCAATTAAATGTAGTTTCTTGTTGTTGAAACCGTTGGCTCCGTGTTATTCCTCCGGGTCGGGTATGCAGCAAGGCAAACCGACCACAATGGCGCCCAACCGTGGTATGCTACCCACTCGCAGGAATTTCACGGGGCTTGGTTTCTTCTTTCGGTAAGCCTTTTTCATATTCCCCGTGTTTCCTATCGTTGTTTCGTGCTTCCGTCACGTCCACGTTTGTTGTATTGGCGTGTTTGTGACCGTGTCTTTGTGAACGCGGCAATCGTTTTGCGCGCTTGTGTTGGGTTTTTGGGGGCGTTTCTTTTTTTTTTGTGCTTGCAGGAATGCTCACGCGGGAGCAGGAAGCCGCGATGGCCGCGGCAGCACAAATGAACCTGCTCACGAAGGTCACGGAGATGTGCGACTCCGTGATGCAGCGCCTGGCCCACACGCCTGGCCAGCAGGAGACCGCACCGCGAGAGCCCAGGCCACACTTGACTGTTCCGGTCTACATGGGGTACGACGACGTCAAGTCCGTGGCAGACTTCCTGGGCGAGCTGCAGACGTACCACCTTGCCTCCGGTGCCTCAGAAGCCTTCATCGTGGACCGGATTGTCCCGCTGGCGTTACAAGCCAGCGCCAGGTGCTGGTTGGGGTCACAGGCCCCCTTCGCCAGCCTGACGGACTTCCAGACAAGGCTTCGCGAAGAGTTCCTGCCTGCAGGCTACGCGACGCAGATTCTCCGAGAGCTCGAGGCAAGGACGCAGCACCCGGATGAAAGTCTGGTCCGGTACGTTCGGGTCATGCAAGAGCTCTTCAAGAGGGCGGACCCGAAGTCGCCGGAGTCGGACAGAGTAGCTCGGGTCAGAAGACAGTGTCACCCCAGGTACCACGTCTACCTGATCAACCGCACCTTTGAGACCCTTGAAGAGCTAGCCCGGGGCGCCCGCCTCATCGAGGAAGCTCTTCATGCCGAGCGGAACTACGAGCCGCCGCGCTCGTCAGCAGCCGCCGCGCTCGTCCAGCAGGCGCCGGCCGGACTTACAACGTCAGTCCGCCCAACAGCGCCATCCGCCCCCTGACGGCCACAACGTCTCCGTCATCGACATGCCGGACGAAGCTTGAGGGGGGGGGAAGTGTGGGCACCCTGGCGGCTCCCAAGCCAAGTTGCCCGACTGCGAGGCTCAAGCCGAACTTTTCCCGCGTGGCGGCGACGTCACGCCAGCCACGCGCACATCGGATGCGCCGCCTTGATAAGGCAGATCAGAGGCGGCGCACGGAGAGTCGCTGCCTGGACTCCGGCAGCGCCGGTAGCAATGTTAATCGTCTTGTCCATGTCCAATTAAATGTAGTTTCTTGTTGTTGAAACCGTTGGCTCCGTGTTATTCCTCCGGGTCGGGTATGCAGCAAGGCAAACCGACCACAAGCGAAAAGGCGCTTCCTCAAAGAAATCCTGTCGACTTCGCTCAGAACATTTCGTGAATATGGAGCGCGCACCAAGCGCTGTACCGCCGATGAACATGGGGTACGCTCGCAATGTGCGTGCGAGTTTTCTCATGATAACTGCTGTTTCAGCTTGTAAAATTTTGTAACTGAATTTATCTTGATAGTGATAATTTGCTGTGGTGACTGTCTCGATTTTATCATCTACAACACTTAGTTGAAGGCTCATTTCCGCCCCCGGGTGAGGCTGGAAATTGTTGAAAACGTAATTCTATTGTTCGTTTTTTTTGTTGTTTTTTTTAATCGCGATCTTTTGCGCGATACCAGGGAACCGGCAAAAGCGTCCTTGGAGTGCCGCTGGTGGGTTGTTTCCGTTGACTAAGGCGCTTTGAGGCGCTTGATAGTCGCTGCAGGGAACGTCTCGTGTGTTGCGATCTGCGTTTTCGAGTCCAGTGTGCATGTTTCTTTGTTTGAGTCAAGGCATGCGCCAGTGTGGCGACGGGGGGAACAGCGGCAGCGAACGTGCCAGCGATAGAAATTGGAGGTGAGTACCCAAAATATTGCATCAAATAGTAAGATAATTCGTGGCTGCTTGGAGGCTTTCTGCGGTTCGATAAAAGTACATCTGGAGCGTCTTCGTCGTTCATTCACAAGGAAATATAAGAACAGGAACACGAAGATAAAAACAGCAGAGCAAGACGATATGTAGCAGCTCCGGGCGTTTGCAAAGTTAATTGAGGTTCCCGTTTCGTGTATAACTTGTTGATTACAACTAAAAGCGGCTACGTTGAAATAGGCCCCATTGCAAGCAAAAATGTATAAATGATTCACCCTTTCCAGTCATGCGGAAAGCAATGGAGCTTAAAAACATTCCAGTCGTACTTGCCTTGCCGGATTCCATGCAAGCTACATGGGTCCTCGGACAGTATTCGACGCTTTCTGTCGTTATTCGTGCACCCTATCACCCAGCAATGGTGTCCCGATGACCGGGGGACTGTCACCATCGAAGACCATGACTCTAACTAAGTTTGGGCGTTTGAAACGTAAAGAAAAGCGCGAACGAAGTTGGGGCACTGCAGACGCCCAACACTGGCCAGGCCCCCTCATCCGGGACTTCCACTCTTCTACACAATCAGAAAGGAGGAAAGCACCGGTAGCCCTTTCCCCTTTTCTCTCTCGCTCTCAAAATGGCGCTACCCACGATAAAACGGTCTATGCTTCCTAATATTTTTAAGCATCTTTATCTTTCATCACGGGCTCGAAATAATTATGGCAACGTTATAGTCAGTTATTTTTCATAGATGGTGTATAAATGTGACATCGCAAGTAGCGATAAGGAGCGATTGCAGTACACTCGGTTACGCTCCAACGCCAATGTGTGAACAAATACTGATAAAGGACACCACACACCCGTTGAAGACTGAGCTAACTTCGTCGCTGACGTCGCACGTATTCCCATCGAAGTTCTCCGTCGCCGGGACTTTGAGCTCATCGAACGCCACATCTGCCAAGTCGGTGGACGCCACGCTGACATCGGTGTAGTCAAGATGTCCAGCTGTAAATGGGTTTATTGCACACATATCAATATCGAAAGCTTTCAAGACGTCGTCAAAGTTCCGGCTAACCAAAATAGGTAGCACCGTTTCCAAACTGAAAAAGGTGTGTGACGGTTGTCGCTTTGAAATATGACGTAGTTGAGTCGGGCAACAAAGATTACAGATTTTAAACATCGCCGGAGGAAACAAAAAAAGTATAGCCGGGATAAACAGAGATAATATAGCAAGGGTGAAGGCAAGCTGGTGAATGTTAACTATGTTGAATAAACCTGATACTGGGGCAGAAATTAACATATAAGTCGAAGGAACAGAAAACGTCGTCCCGTCCTTTTCTGTTCCTTCGACTTATATGTTCCTTTCTGCCCCAGTCTCAGGTTTATTCAACAAGGATAAACAGATTGAACTAGTTGTACGAACTCTTTAAATTCGAACGTTTCCCAAACGGCTAAGTCAAAATTTACCATAACGGCCGTAACGAAAAAAAAAAAAAAAAACTGTCTATAGTTACTGTTAGAGAAAGCGAATAAAAAAAAGAAAAGAAAACCACGGCATAGAGGTATTTTTGTTGTCCAGTGTCCAGCGTGAGCTTCGTGGACCTCAATAAAACTTTAGCATATCGTGACATTCAAGCACGCATGCGCAGCCAGGGCACGACAAACGAGAACGAGCGCGTGCGCGGGAAGGGCCTTTGAAATCATGGTTATACGAATCATGGTGATACCAAAAAAAAAAAAAAAAGGTACTGTAATATAGACTAAAACCCCGACACTATAGGGAGACCAGGGACAATACAACACGGGAGTCTCTGTTGAGACTTCCGATCATGTTCAACCATCACCATCACCCAACCAACCATTGTGCCTTCACTTTCTGTTTCTGGTATCGGGTCCTCAGAAGAAATGAAAGCCGCGTTGTTCTCGTCACAAAAATAACTACTTATCGTAGAGCGCTTACTCTTCGCCCAAATGTAGCGCTACCGCTAGCTGCACCACGCAGATGCCAAAGTTTCAGACGATATTTGGTTGAAAAGTTACCATACCGTACTGTTTCGTTTCAGCTGAAGACGAGACGCAGCGGATGCTACAGGCGCGAGCTCCGGGCTGCCAAGCTCGTGCAGTGCAACCACTGTTCAGGGCCACATCCTCGCGCTTGTAGCTTCGGTTGCGTCTGAAAACGAAGTACGCCCTTTTCGGAAATTTCGGGCTAACAAATGGCGGCGCACCAACCCCGCGGATACATGAAGATGAATGGAGTTCTCTGCAGGGAATAAGCCCCATTTTATGAATGAAAATTTCCGAAAATAGCTTATCTTTTCAATCATATAACGTGTGTTCCGAAACTTTGGCACCTGGTCCCAACCGCTAGCCCTATTTGGGCGAGAGACTGAGCGCTTGGTGATGCGAAGCTTACCATTGCAATAAGGGGAAAAAAACACACAGACGCACACACAAAACGCGCTTCTCTTTGATCTTACACACCCGTTATAAAACATTCAAGAGTGAAGGGCAATTCTACCAAGATTAGCCCATCTATAAAGAAATACGTCAATTCACTCCTACGCCGAGATGAAAACGGCTCCACAAAAGCCTTACTCTTGCGGACAATATACACTCTAAAAAAAAGTTTGTGCGTCTACTTTCACGCACAACACTCGGAGAGCCAATCACCGCAACTTACGGAGGCAACTCAGCGAAAAACGCAGTCTGAGTTGTGGCATTAAGCTGCAAAACGACACGCTTGCATTGCTTAATGTCACAACTCAGACTGCGTTTTTGCTCTGAACATATGTTTCGGCATTGTCATTCGGTGAGCTGCCTTCTGTAAGTTGCGGTGATTGGCTTTCCGAGTGTTGTACGGGAAAGCAGACGCAAAGGATTTTTTTAGAGTGATTTGAGCTGAAACACAAGATTCGTCCCTTTTATGCGCCTGTGGTTTCCACAAGCATTACTATCCATATCAATTTGTCAAGAGTTTCGAAGTATGGGACCTCAACCTTGCGCTCAATCCCTCGATCGGGCCACAGCTCTCTTTGATAGGTGGGCCAAAGAAGAATGAAGGTTAGCTTCAGATCATATTGTCCGCGATAGTACATCACAGACCAAAGATTACTGTACGCAGACAGGATGCCTTGGAGATAGCGTATTGTACTTTCTGGTTCCTTCGCGTTTGACGATTTATTAGGTCTGGTTAATGTAGAATAATGTTCGAAGCCTGTCATGTGCACATTTTGTCATATTATCTTGGTTTCATGAGGATCGTTTCATGGGCTTGTTAATAATCTTCGAGTAAAAGAAGCCTCGTCACTGGCTATACAACGTCCCCGAATCACAGTCTGGCAATAAAATAACTTGAACATGTTGTGGGAGATTTAATGAAGATGATCACTGCCCCAAGCTATTTCGCTCGTGCATTTGAACGCATGGTTTGATTAGAAGTATACTCTTACGTTTAATTTTTATATATTAGTAAAACAAAATAGGCGCACTGCAACTGCAAGTTCGCTGTATACTGCAAGACACAATAATGAGCTTTAATTGTACAACAAACAGTTTTGAACTATAATCAATTGTATTCTATTCTAAATGTGATGGAGAATCTATGTTGCACTATCCAAGCTATCATGCGCCTCCCACGCTGATAAGATTACTACCACTGCGTTTCTCTACAGAGCCGATAAGGGGGAGTTCCACCACGTTAATTCTGATCGAACGCCTTTCAGCAACGTCAAATTTATGCATGGTCAACTGGATGCGTGCCAGTGGTCCCAGCTGGCATATAAACGCTTTAAGCTTTAAACGTGAAAAAAAAGGGGTGGGGGCGTGTACACAGCTTAGAATTTAGTCTGCCTCAACGGGCGACTTGTCTCCCAGCTGTAGATGAGAAATTTAGCCAGTGCGGTACAACCGCTAGCCTGGGGTCTTTAATGTGCACCACGCAGTACTGATACGCGACTGCACGCCGGTATGCGATGCTCATCCAGATCGAAACGGGCAGAGGTGGGGATTGAGCCTATGATACCTGGATTCTGCAGCACGAGCTTTCGCTCAACGTGCTCCGCGCTGGTGTGCGTCACCGATCCCCCCCTTGAACGCAAAAGAAAACATTTCAACTCTAGTGTTTGTTCTACGCAGAATCCATTGCACATAGCAATTCCGCTTCTAAGCCGGCACGCTTAAACTACAACAACAGGGACGCTTACCTGAATACGTGTCAGGCGTCGCACCGTCGAATATTTCCTCGAACACGGAGTCCTGGATGCTCAGCGGGTTAAAACCGTCGGCCAGATCACAGCAAAAGTTCTCGGCAGTAGACGCGGGGTCCTCCATAAGGCCTATATAAAAGGCTTCCTGGTCCCCCATTGTCAACAACACTCTCTTCGGCAAACAAGCGGGACCTTGTGGGCGCAAAAAAAAAAGAAAAAAATCAAACCGCAGACACACGGTACACTTGATGCAACGAACTGAAGTCGAGCCCTGTCCTCTTCTGGAAACTCACGAGTGCATTTATAGCTTCGTGATCTGCTGTGTTCATTTTAAGAATACATTTCCGAAGGCATGTCAAAAATATATTCACCCGATTGCCGAGTGGTCCTCAGCTGCCACCCTCCGGTATTCACAAAGGATATAACTATCGTTACGTATAGCACACAGGTCTTCAGTTTATATTCATTGAAAAAGGCTTAAACAAGGATGCTGGAAGTGTTTTCTTGTCGAGTTCGCGCGTTGAAGCAAGTTTTTACACAAGGCCAAGGCCCATGGTTCTCGGGAGGACAAAGAGGGTATAGCGTGAAGACGGCATTGGCAAAATTCTAAGCGATCGCTTCGGTGTCTATAGATAGCTAGACGCTGTACTGGCCTCGCGGAGTCCAGAACCCCCACTGTGGCTACCGCTACCCGCTTGAGCCCAGCCCAGACTGCCGCTCTCAGTGACAGAAGACTGCATGAGTATGGCGGGATTCGGACATGTGGGGCTTCCGGATTTTCGCTGAGCTTTAGCCGCACCGAGTGAGGGAAGGGAGTATTAGCAAGCGTCCGGGGTTTCGGGGATTACAGAGCGGGTAGGATCCAGGGCCGTCGTATATCGGTCATCGATGAAAAAGCGAGAAAAAGAAAAACGATGGTCCCCACATGAGTGCACAAAGGGACTTGGACGTTCTGCTGCGTCCGCTTAAACAAAACGATTTTCGATGTGGCTTTACTTTTACTCGCACCACAAAAAAAAAAAAAAAAAAGCACACAGGAGGAAACACGCAAAGGTTATAGTGGCACCTGAGGCGGTTACAAAATTAAATATCGTATCAGATTGTTCGCTGTCGTTTTTGTAATATATATCCATGTGGGGCATCACCATTTCGGAACTTTCGGTATTTGGCTATCTCCGTGCAGCGGCGCAGACTTTCCATGTTCCCGAGAAAAGGGGGAGGGGGGCAGGCTGAGAAGTTCTCCGGGGAGGAGTGCTGAGCGTTACCTTTTCGCCAGAACTGGACATTGAAGCTAACGAAAGCATGCTGGGATTCTATTTCCCATGTATTTTGTCAATAAAGGCAACGTGGGCGTTATTTTGTTTACATGTCACTACTAGAAGCTCGTTACATGGCACGTAAACTCTGCCCCTCCCCCCCCCCCCTCCTTTCTTTTTTTCGGATTTTACTGGGCCGGGCACGAGCCCCGATGCCCCCTGAAGTCTACGCCTATGTCTCCATGCCATAATCTCCGCAATATTTGAAGAATAAACTAACAATGAACTCATCTGTATCGTAAAATGAAGCACTTTTTAGGCAGCAGCTGTGTGCAAAGAATATATGTATATATATATATATATAAGATGGCATCAAAAGAAAGAAAAAAAAGTGTTATCGAAAGTTGTGGTGCGGCAAGCTCATCCTTTAACCTGCGATTCCAAGGATTTAAGTTGTGCAAACAATATTAAAGCCAAACACACACACACACACACACACACACACACACACACACACACACACACACACATATATATATATATATATATATATATATATATATATATATATATATATATATTTACGTGCGCATTTCAGTTGCACAGAGCTAAAGCCCATTCAATTTCAATAAACTATGTATTTCTGTCTTTATTTTATTCTTGTACGGGTTTATAGGCCTCAAGTAGTCAAGGACTTAGAGGTGTTGTTACTGAGGAATTTCACATCAAAATCAAACTTATAGGCTAGTT